GGCGCATTGCAGCAGCTGCCGCACGCAGGGCTGCCCATACTCCTCCCTTCTCCGTCTCCTTCCTCCGGGCTCCCGCTCTCCCGGCCCTCCCTGCTGCCCTCCACTTGCTTCGGGCTCTTCCCTGCTCCCGGTCCGGGGGGATCCAGGCAGGTTGCGGGCCCTTGGGGCTGCTGCTGGTGCCGGCCCAGCCTGGGACAAGTGGGGTTCAGGTGGATTGGGGGGTAGGGTGTTCTTCTTTAAGCGTCTGATTGGGTTTTCTCTTTGCCCATGTGTGTTCCACTAGGTCTGACTCAGCTCAGCAACCTGCTTCCGGGGCCCCCGAAGGGGGAGCTCCTGGTGGGCCCCCTGCTGGGGCACCCCCTAATCAGAGCAGTAACCGTCGGATGCAGCAGACGCAGGTCCAGATGAAGGAGGTCAGTAGCTCTGCCAGCCGTGTGCTGGCTTCACATCGACTGCCTGGGCTCTCCTGCTCTGCAGCAGTGATGTTCTTGACAGGCACCTGCTGCTGAAGGGCTGGTTGCTTTTGTTATGCTAGTGCCAGAAAAGCACTAATGATCATATCGTGATGGTAGACGTATAAAGAGCCTGGAGAAGAGATTGCTTTATGTTTAAAAGCAGCTTTATTCCAGCTATGACTTCTAAGGAGCAGGCCTGTTACATTTTTTGGTACCTCCTGTAGTGCATCTGTTATGGAAATACAGCATCCAGAAGAGATCTCGATCCCTGCCCTGTTGCTTCAAGCAAACAGTCTGTATGTAGACTCAACGTGTGATGTGCAGGGCACCTTGCCTGACTTTCCATGGTCGGTGTCTGCAGCGTGGCTGCTGACCTGCAGTAACGCCTTTATGCCTCACTGGGGCAGCCACATGTAGCTGTAAATCATTGCAATTAGCAGAGTGAGCAGAAGATTGCTCTCATGAGGAGGGTGGCTTAGGCTTGCTGCATTTGAGAGCTTTATAAACAGGTGAGAGTGCGGGGCTGAAGACCTCGTTTAAGTGTACTTGAACTGATATTGTAAGCGGGGGCCCTAGGATTTTTTCCTGCACTTCAGAGTAGACGGTGGCTTGAAAGCTGTGTTTTATCCTGACCTTTTTTCCCTTGTTTAGGGCTTCTGCTTGTTAGCATCTCAGTGTTAGATTCCTGGCTCTTGTTTTTTCAACTCTCTTTACCAGTACAACTGCTGCTACTATTCTTCCTTCTGCAGGTGGTTGGTATAATGTGTGTAAATGTAGACAAGATGCTGGAACGAGATGAGAGACTGTCAGAGCTAGATGACCGGGCAGATGCACTTCAGGCTGGTGCCTTGGAATTTGAAAGTAGTGCATCAAAACTCAAAAGGAAGTACTGGTGCAAGAACTGCAAGGTGAGTTTCCTATTGCCATGATCTCCTTCATCAGAAGGACTTTGGGCTAGTCCTTTCCAGGGCTTTGAAAAGATAGTTAGGCTGTAGTAATGATTTCCAATAGTCAGGATTCTTTCACTGTGGAAAGACTGAGGTCTTGGCTGCCCTACCTTCAGGGTCTGGCTTATGTTCCCTGGCTGCCTGGGAAGATGTGGACTTGTCAGTCTGTTCTGAGTATTACTCTTTGACAATTTCTCTCTCCAGATGATGATCATGATGGGAGTGATTGGTGCCATTGTGGTGGTGGTGATTGCAAGTAAGTACTGAAAAGCCAGGATCAAAGGTGAAGCACCAACTCTACAGTACCTTAAACTCTTCCTTTTAGATCTGAGATCTGGAGGGTCTTGGTTGCATAAGTATTAACTTCAGTCCTTGGGAAAGGGAGGTGGTGGTGCTAGAACTCCTGCACTTATGCTAGAAACTATATACTTTACATAGTAACAGAAGGAACTGGGAGTGGCTGTCATTGTAGAAATGGGAAATTCTGCCTGCCAGGTCAGGTGAACTTGTAAGTATAAGAGGTGTTTACCCTGGAGTGGGTGGGTTGGCAAGTTCCTTCCATGGTGGGGAATTTGGAGGTCTCTGAGGGACCTTTGGTGTAACTTGCCCTCTTGTTCTTTCCTTTTTCTTTTTTTTTCCAGTCTACTTTTTTACTTGAATGTACCTCCTTCAGTCTGCAACCTACTGTCCTGTCACCTTTCCTGTCTCTTCTTATCCCTGAATCTTTCCTTCCCTTCCACCTGGCTTCTTCATTGATTTCTATATTGGTTTTAATTTGTCTTCTCTGTATGACTCTGAAGCACTCTAACAAACATGGTTAGCCTTAAACAGCTGCTGCAGCCTTAGAGTTTAGAGCAAAGAGAAGTAGAGGAGGAGCAGGTAGCAGACACAAGCCAGGATGCTGTGGTTTTCTACTAGCTTGTAGCTTTCTGGAAGACTTTGAAGTAGTGGCAGAATGGGAATGGGTATTCTGCTTTTGTTACTGGGTTGAATGTCAAAGCAAATCCACTATGTAGCAGATGCAGCTGAAGGAGCCTAGAGGTATTCCAGATGAGGCTGAACAAGTGACACAGCATTCTGATTAAGAATACCTGTCCATTTCTGCTACCACAAAGCCCTAACTTTCAGCA